CTTGCTAGATTTCTTTATTTCAAGAAAAGTTTCTCCTAATTTTATTGTTATTCTGATCTTGAGTAAAACAGTTATTAAAAGCGCAACCCGACCTACTCTTACCAACAAAATTACTGACTGGAAAAGCTTTAGAACCTCAAAACAAGATCAATCTAAATATATGTTTAAAAACAACTAAATAATTTAAAGGAAGCTGGCACTTTACCAAAATTGTTCAAATAGTTGCTTACAATGACAACAAAGAAATTAATCATTTGACAAAGGAAATAAATTACTTAGTTGAGATCAAAGAACTTGTAAGAAAAGAAAGAAGAGCAAAAAGAAGATGGAAAAAATCTAGGGATCCATCTAATAAATTCATTTTAAACAATAAAACTCAAAAACTGATAACAGAAATTAAAAAGCTCAAAGAAAAATCAACAAACTTATACCTACAGAACCTCTCACCAGATCAAAACACAGATTACTCTCTGTGGAAAACCACAAGAAAAATTAAAAGACCTATTAGCTTCATCCTTCACATTAGAAGAGATAAAGGATTATGGGCCAGGGACAATAAACAGAAAGCAGACTTGTTTGCTAAACATTTTTCAGACATTTTTACACGCAATCAGATACAGGAAGAAAATAATTTGTCCATAATAATAAAAAATCCGATACTTGTTTATTGTAGCTTATAGATTGAAACATTATCCTGTATGCTGAAAAGTTGCAGAGGTAATGTTACTAAAACCAGGAAAAACGTCGAACTACGTTAAGTCTTATAGGCCTATTTCTACCAATTGTGTCAAAATGATTTGAAAAATTACTGCTTAATAGATTAAGACCTCTGATAGAAGATACAAAATTGATTTCCAATTCGGATTTCAACAGAAAAATTCTACTATTGATGAAGTTTATAAAATCACAGATGTCATAGAGCATGCCCTTGATGGAAAACAAGTCTGCTCTGTCATATTTTTAGACGTTGTCCAAGCCTTTGACAAGGTGTGTGATGGTTCGGTTCACAAACTAAAAAAAAATGCTCCCAAAGCAATATGTAAGGATTATAAACATCATATATCTCTGGCAGGCTTTTCAGAATCAAACGGGAAGACGACTATTCTTATATAAAAGAAATAAGAGCTAAGGTGCCTTAAGGAATTGCCCATCTTATATTTACTATAGACTAGTGACTTGCCAACTCTGGAATATATGATTGCAGCTATAATCGCTGATAATACTGATCTTCTTGCAGTTGATCAGGATGAGTAAGAAAACTTTATACAGTTAGCAATTATTTACTTAGATGGACCAATCAATGGATAATTAGGCTCAGTGAACTTAAGTTATTCATGCTAACTTTACAATTAAAAAAAAATGAAGAACCTCTCTCTCTAAATATCAACGGAAAGACTGTACCCTCATGAGTTGAATTCAAAGTACCTTGCCAAGTTACGATACAAAGTGCATGTTAAGAAGAAAATAACTGAATTGGGAATAAAATATAAACAGCACTCTTGGAAAGGGACCCAATTATAATAAAATATTAATCTGGAACCACCGTTGTGGCTTTACGACATTTAATTATGGGAATGTGCCAGAGATAGCAACATTAAGTATATCTACACCTTTCGTAACAAAGTATCCATAGCGAAGCCTCCTTGGTATGTACGCAATGCAGAATTTCATCAAAATCTTTGGAAGAAACAAAAGGTTTGCTGGCACGCATGAAGCCAGATTTCACCTGCATACCAATGCAGCAACTTTTCAGCTGCTGGACAATCAGGACCATGTTCGACGATTAAAGAGGACTAAATATCAGTTGATCTCTTGTACTGTGTTGTGTACGTGTGAAAGAAAGCAAAGCATAGTACACGAGTGACTTGTTTATATTAGTCAGAACAATCTAATGAAGATTGATGGATTGATTTTAGGTGATAAGTGCTTAGTTTAAGATTGTTTTAGAAGAAAATTAATGGTTAATCCATGAGACTAGTTTTAACAACCCGGTTAACTTTCAAATAACCTTCAAAGACACCTGCTACTTCGCAAACAATTAAAACTAAGTCACGCGAGATTTTTCACCCAATCATTACTCTCGCGTGTAATCATACGATACTAGATAACCAATTAGAAAAAAAGCCGGTAAAACCGATGCGAGCTAACAAGCATCGCAAAACAAAACACTCACTTTCGTTTTCTCAGTCGACGAAGCGACAAGTCAAACACTTACAAAGCCGGCATTCGACGTAAATTAATTTCAAGCATTGTGCGAGTTGATTTACAAAAGTTAATATGTAATCGATCAATCAATGTATGTAACCAAGTAGTAAATGTGTAAAATGTGAAATCATCAAGCCGTGAATATATCAAATTCAAATATAGGGTGATAGTTTTAGAATAAACACAGTGCTTCAACCAGAACTTCAAGAATATCTCCCAGAGGCTACAGGGTGGAGCATAAGGCTTCCACCTTAGGTAATATACTATGATACAGTCCACGATGATCGAAGGCAGTAGATGTCAATCCTAATAAAGCTAGGGTATAACTACTGTTGTCTTTATTTACAAACGGATTGTTTTTTTACAGTTATAATACGAAACTATTCTTTAAACCGTTTATATCTCTATCTACTCGTTAGTTGCTTTTATATGCATACTAATTATGTAATACTATAATGTAATTTTTTTTCATTTCTTGTCAATAATATTTATTTGCTATTGTGATGGATTTACATTCTTCAGATGACATACATCAGCCTTTTAATATTGTACAATTTTTACTCAATTGATAGGGAGGTCGGGGCAATAGCGTATTCCGGGAAATAGCGTGGATTGCTACTGTGACGTTCTTCTGCACCCTCCCATCTCTAATTATATGCGGAGAGGTCGACTTGAGGATCTTGGTCTCAGTACCGAAGGCACTTTCAACCAAGCAGTACGTTAGCTGTCGATAAAAGTAAAAGTTCGCTTTCATAGTGACTCGAGTTCTAAACCGAAAATTTAAAAAAATATTTTGTAAAGTAAGTACAATATATATATTATTTTTTATATAACTACGTTCAATCTTCAAATTATAGGTGTGCTTTTACGTTAATACATTGTAATTAATTACAGTAAAAAGTGCTTTTTTACGACTTAAAAATAATAGAAGTGCTATGAGGCAATAGCGTTTACTATAAATGGGGCTATAGCGTGCACACGCTATTGCCCCTAAACGTTTCTGTATTTTTATGTGTGGTAATGTTTGTTACAGATGGTCCGAAATTATAAAAAAAAAAATATAAGAGGCAACTGGAACGTTGAACATTTACACGAAGCTGTGCAGAACATTAAAAATGGTTCTATTAGTCTCATGGATGCTAGTAGACAATATGAGATACCTGCAACTACTTTGAGAGATCATGTAAAAAACAGAATTCGTAATTCTTCCAATGTCCCGGCTGTACCAAAAAAGGTTGGAAGAAAAACCGTCTTTACTGAAGAACAAGAACTCCAGTTGGAAAAATATTGTATTGAGATGTCTAAAAAATTTTATGGATTAACCATTCGTGAATTTAGAGAAATTGCTTACCAATTTGCAAGAAATATAGGTGTTGAAAACAGATTTAGTAACAAAAATAACGAAGAAGTAGCCGGATGGGATTTTTATAGTAACTTCATGAAGCGTCATCCTACAATTTCTTTAAGGTCACCAGAACCTACCAGCTTGAATAGGGTTATTGGTTTCAATAAGGCGGAAGTAGACAGATTCTATTCTAATTTAGTACAACTATATGAAAAGTACAAATATAGTCCGAACGACATATTTAATGTTGATGAAAGTGGAATTCATACGGTTCATAAGCCATCCAAGATAATTGCCCGAAAAGGAGTGAAGCAAATAGGCAAGGTTACAAGTGCCGAGCGAGGTGACTTAGTTACTACAATTTGTTGTGTAAGCGCTTCAGGAAGTTACATTCCACCGTTTTTAATTTTCCCCAGGAAATTACTGAACGATCGGCTAATGAAAAATGCACCTCCTGGTTCAATAGGAAAAGTAAGTTCAAATGGCTGGAGTAACACTGACATATTTTATGATTGGTTGAAGCACTTCATTACTATTGTTCGTCCGTCAAAAGATCATCACGTGTGCCTAATTTTGGACAATCACGAGAGCCACATCTCGCTACCTCTTTATGACTTAGCCAAAGACAATGGGGGTCGATGTTATCTCGTTGCCACCGCACACAAGCCATCGAATTCAGCCATTAGATTTGGTATTTTTTGGGCCACTTAAGACAGCATTCAACGAATATTGCGCGAATTGGATGAGAACAAATGCCGGGAAACGTATAACCATATACGAAATAGCCGAGTTATTTGGAAAATCATATCAAAAAGTATGCAACATTGAAAAAGCCGTCAAGGGCTTTAAATCTGCTGGAATTTATCCCTACGATAATAAAATATTTTCGGATGAAGATTTTATTGCTCATACATCGCTAGTTCAAACATATAAGACTATGCCTACGCCTACCTTAAACGATTCCGCAGCTACATCTAAAATTCAAACCGAAAATGAAAAAACACCACCCAGTGTTCAAAATATTGCTAAAGTGCAGGAATCGCCTTCTGTGGATGACTTAGCATCTTCGACGTCATCTATAATTGAAACAGTAAAAAATCCTTATAGTGATCTGTTTTCTTTTCCAACAATTACCAAACAAGAGAAAAAACGAAATTCAAGAAAAAAGCACTCCGAAATTCTTACATCAACTCCATTTCGTGAAGAGTTAGAAAAAAAAGAAAAACTAAAAGAAGAAAAGGCAAAAAACGCGGCCAGTGTAAAAAGAAAAATAGTTACTAAATTATGCAAAGGAAAGGAAAATAAAGGTAGTAATGTAGTTATTACCAAAAAGGTGAAATTACAGAAAAGAATTGAAAATTCTGATAGTGGCGATTCGTTTATGGAAGAAACAAACAACGAGAGTGACGTCGAAATAAATTTCGATTCTGAAATATCTGAAATTAAAAAACTGGATTACGTTTTGGTGGAATTTAAACCAAGTCAACACACTAAAGTGTACTATGTGGGTCGTGTTCTAACAGATGAAGAAAATGGAGAATTTGAGGTTTCGTTCTTTAGAAAAAGTAAAAAATTGGATAATGTTTTTTATCTTCCTCAAGCCTTAGACATATCACTTGTCTCTAAAAAGGACATAAAAATGAAATTACCTGAACCAAGGTTAAACGGTAGCACGAAAAGACAACAGTCACATTTATTGTTTAGGGTTTGTTTTGGAAATCTAAGGATTGAATAATGTAAGAATTTTGTTGTTATTCATCAGATAGAATACACATTTTATGTTTGTTGTCATGGGTATACAATGTTTTAGGTAGGTACAGCATATTATTGTTTTCCCTAAACTGTTACTTAGTAATAATAAAACAGGTTATTGTACTTATTTGAGTTTTGAATAAAATTTTATATTGATTTATAAGCTCCTATCAATGTTAAAATCGATACAGCGCTATAACCCCTATCAATCGCTTTTGCCCCCATGGAAAAATGCTATTGCCCCAAGAGACTGGGGCAATAGCGTTGTTCGTGTAAATTTTAAACTTTTAATAATAATTTTTATTTACTTGATAATAACAACTGAAATATGTGAGTATCAAATTAATATCGTGGTTAATTATGTGTACAAGTCTCTACGTTATATTTTAGATCAATCGCAATCAAAATCAATTTTGAAATTTTTGGTGCGCTATTGCCCCAACCTCCCCTACCTTTAAAATATTTAAATATGGTAAAGATTTACAGCAGTCCATAACTTCTTGTAATCCGTGCCTCGTCCTTTAATTAAAAAAATTTAGAGGGTGCACTTTTAAAAATTTAAGATTTTTGTATTAGTTGTTTTAATATTTGTTGGATTTCCAAAAGATTCTTCCCTTTAGTTTCGGGCAGAAAAAAATAAACAAAAATGCTTCCAACGATGCAATTTGACGTAAAAATCCAGAAACACCACCCTAGACCTACCGATTCCATAATAATCGGAAAACCAAAGAGATTTAAAGCAGTAACAACGCCAGAAACTAAAACAATAATGGACGTTGCAGTCGCTTTTACTTGATTTGTAAAAAATTCGTTCATTATCACTACAGGTACACTTGCCGTACCGAAACCATTTACAACAGTAAAAATACCTATTCCAGCAACCGGTATCCAATTGCAGCTCTCAACAATGGCGTAGCCCTTCAGCTTTAAATGAAAATAAAGTCCAATAATAAACAGGGGAATGATACTGGCCGAAACAGAGAATAGGAGTATATTCCTGCGTCCCCATCTTTCAACACCAGAAGCAGCTGCGATGTAACATAATATTTGAACAGTCGAAACAAACACTGCACAAATATTACTTGAAATACTGGTTTCGACTTTATTAAAAACTGGTTGTAAATATGCTGTAAGCGCAGCCATACCACTGATATTAAATAAGTTATACGAACCCAAAGCAATTATTAAACCATTTCTAGAACTTCTGTCCGTTAATATTTGTGAACATCCTCCTTTAGAGTTAGTCGTTTCTTGTAACTCGTATTGAATTTTATCAATCTCCAGTTCGATTTCCTTGCAGCTTTTATCTCTGAGTTTTCGTAAAATTTGTTTTGCTCCTCTTATGTCATGCACTTTAACTGAAAAAATGGGCGATTCTGGTACTATAGTTAAAAAACAGAGGGCGTTAATAGCGATTGGGAGAGCACACAATAGAGTAAAATATTTGAAAGATAAATATGGACCAATTAGGAAACAAATCACAGTTCCCAAGGGATATCCAACGAATCCAAGACAAGACATTTTGCCTCTATTATGATCTTCGCATATTTCACTTATGTATACTGGTTGACCTACATTTACTCCACCAACACACACTCCACATATAAATAAGGAAGCATAATAAATAATTAAATCAGTCGAATATGCTAATGTAACAATGGAAATTGTCACGATAAAATACAATACGGTCAAGCATTTCTTTCTACCAAAAATGTCGAATAATTTTGATAATAGAAGAGGTCCAATAAATGATCCTATTGATTGCGATGCTCCTAGTAAAGCTAATTGTACTGTGGTAATTGATACTCCTAATGGATTCAGTTCAGATCTATCGATTAGTAGCTTTTCGGATATAGGTGAGATCCATGAAGCCATCATTCCGCATGTTAATTGTGCCAAATTTGCTGAAATTAAACAAAATTCAAATTAAAACATATACATTATATCTGTATCTAATTTACTAGATGTACTAAAAGACTAATCGAACCTCTTTTTAACTGACTTTCAAAAAAGGAGGAAGTTCTCAATTCGTCGTAATATTTTTATATATTTTCAAGGTCGACTACAGAAACTAATAGAGTAAGAGCCCAGTGCCCCCAGACATAACTTATTTTCTAAAGGACAAAATGTGGGGCATCAAGTAGTGTTTATATATGTATTGAATGCCTCCATACCTGCTAAGTTGGTTAGTGGGCCAATTCACAGGTACCAGGTGAGAAAGGTAACTATAAATAAGGTTAACTTTACTTATTTTCTAAAGGCTGATTTTTATTTATAAAGCACGAGCATATAGTACAGTCGCGTATATATATATATATTCCATAAAATATTATTAGAAAATAATATTGAACATTGCCAGACACTTTCCGTGGGCCATAACTTCCGCTAGACTCTTTAAAGCTCCCAATTTTTTTTTTTAACTTTACTTATGTTCTAATGTCTGGTTTTTATATATGTTATTTAAGGAACTATTTTAAACATATATTTATTCAGCCAGACTAATTGTAAGGGCCAAACACCCCCCAGACATCAAAAACATTCAGCTGTGAGTATACGCGACTGTACTATATGCTCGTGCTTTGGAGCGAGTAAGATATAAATCGATGGTACAACAGCAACACGTATAAAATCTTTTAATATGGCTTGAAATATCTAATATGGCTTGAAATATTTACTCTGGAAAATCGTTATTTAAAATTATCGAGTTGTTGCTTTATTAAATTGATAAAACAATTAAATAGGAACATACTAGGGAGTCATGTCGCACAGCTGTGCGACTACCTTTCGAAGGAAAATTTCAAATGTTTACCGTCCTATAGAAATATTTAATAACGCCTTTGCATTTAATTTTTCAAAAATAAAAAAAACGAAATATTTTGCGTTTTTTTTTTATTTCCCCCCCTCTCCCTGTTAGAAAAACCATGTCATGTGATACATCAATCGATGCTTCTCGTCGATACGGATAATTATTTTTCAGGTTTTATTCGTCTATCTCCTCTTTTAAGCAATGTTTTCCCCGGAAAATCGTCTCATCCGAAATTTCCCCTAATTTTCCTGGAAAATCTGTTTGATGTACCGGAAAATTGTCTATGCCAGGTTGTGAGCAACGTCGAGTAGTAAACTGGTATTTTTAGTTTTTCCAGAAAATTCATCGGAAAAGTCGGAAAGTTTTAAAAACTAAAAAAATATTTTTTTCGATTTTCACCACATGATAAATCCGTTGTCGAAAAAAAAGTTGGTCTTACCGGAAAATGCCCGGAAAACCACTTTCCCGAAGGAAAATTATTTTTTTTGCATGATTCGACAGAGAAAATGTCAATCTTTCGGAAACAGCGAGATTTGATATACATTTACATATTTTTAAATGAAATTTTTATACACCTAAGTTACTTTTTAAAAAGATGTTTTTCACAAAATTTTTATACACATTTTTTTTAATATTTTTAAGTAATAATTATTTAAATAGTTCCTACTTTTAACTTTGTATAGGTATCTCACTCTCTCCAAAGCACGAGCATAGTACAGTAGCGTATACTCACGGCTGAATGTTTTTGGTGTCTGGGGGGCGTTTGGCCCTTACAATTAGTCTGGCTGAATAAATATATGTTTAAAATAGTTCTTTAAATAACATATATAAAAACCAGACATTAGAATATAAGTAAAGTTACAAAAAAAAATTGAGAGCTTTAAAGCGTCTAGCGGAAGTTATGGCCCACGGAAAGTGTCTGGCAATGTTCAATATTATTTTCTAATAATATTTTATGGAATATATATAAAAATCAGCCTTTAGAAAATAAGTAAAGTTAACCTTATTTATAGTTACCTTTCTCACCTGGTACCTGTGAATTGGCTCACTAACCAACTTAGCAGGTATGGAGGCATTCAATACATATATAAACACTACTTGATGCCCCACATTTTGTCCTTTAGAAAATAAGTTATGTCTGGGGGCACTGGGCTCTTGGTCTATAACATCCTAATGGATCAGTGGATAAAATATATGCAGGAATAAAGAGCCATTTACACCGAAAGAATTGGACCTATTACTATTGTTTCCTAAATAAATCAATTAAGAGGAAAAACAAACATATCGTCGGCTTAGTGCAAGAAGTCATTATCTGACAAAATGACTATTTGGAAATAATGGCATTTGAAATTACTTTTTAATTAGGTCACATTATCTTTTATATTATGGGACGGGCGGAGGTAATTTGCCCACAAAATATTTAAAGCTGCTAATCCTATAGGTTATTTGCCCACAGCAAGTAAAAGGTCATCTTAATCCTGTTGGTATTTTGCCCAAATTTATTTCTAACTGAATAAATCATAATAGATATATCTTTCATTTATTATTTTTTATATATTATCGAAAAGTAAAAACACATTATTAATTAAACTAAAAATTATATTAAACACTAATTTTTATTATTATAAAAAAGTAAGTATACATAAGTTATATTATATTTTTTATATATTTATATTTTATTTACATATTTTTCAACTGGGAGGGATAAATGTGATACAAATTTTATATACTCTAATCTGCTGATTTGCTGCAGATCAAATCGCTTTATAAATTTTTCTAAACACTGAATTTTTTGTTTTACACTTTTGTCTCTGATTTTCTTAGGTATACTTAAGCTTTGTATTGTGACATACGTGTCGATTTGAAAGTCTTTAAGCTTTTCTATAAAAATATATACAGAAGGATGTGTACAGTAGAATGAAGAATTAAACCTTGAATGAAACGACTCACAGGCATTTGTAGTTCTTGTAATTGAAGCTGTTTTTTCTGCCCATATACTTGGAGGAAATGTAGAATTTTCTTCAATATATGTTTCTAATAGGTAATCGGCATACCTATCGAGAACGGCATTTTCTGGTTTACTTGCCATTAAGTCAAACACAAAACAGTCTCCAACTTCATCGGCGTTTAAATATGTCAACCCAAATGATGTTTTAAGCCATTTTCCGGTATCACTGTTAGTTGTATATTCAGTCATTAATCCCAGAGACTGAATTTTACGATACCACGCTTGATGTAGATGAAATCGGCAGCCATTGATTACAGTATTAGGCCACATATAAATTAACGCCTTATGAATTGCTATTTCAAAATCAACGAACACTTTAGATGGATTTAAAGCAATACTGTAAGTTTCCAAAATTTCATAATGCAATAACGAAAACAAATGTTTGTATATATCGGTAGATTTGTTTGGTAATAAACAATATACCAGGGGCACATAGTGTCCATTACACAGCCCATGAATGGTAAATAATTGTAGGAAAAACTTTGTACAATACGAAAATGTTCCATCCATATACAAGACGTTCATTTTACACAAAGTACGAATATTTGTCTCACATGTAAATACAATAATATTATTTTCTCTGCTATTTATTAAAAGAAAATGTTCACCTTTACTAATTTTAAATGTATTAGAATATAAGTCAACTGCATCATGCACTTCTTGTATATTTGTAGGTAATGGACCTGGTAGTATTTTGCGACGACTATTGTATATAGTTTTTCTTATGTAGGACACATCAATTGTAGTTAGTGACTCTGGTAAATTAGTAGCAAGTACTTTACGGATAATTTTAGAAGGTTTTTCCGAAATATCATCAACTGCTTTTCGCTTACACGAATTAGAAATAATTTTCCTGTTTAATTTCGGTTCATTTGCTTCATGGCTATGAATTAGGTTGCCTCTCGATACTAAAAGTTCAGGACCAATTGTAAATACAGTGGCATTACAAGCATTTGTTTTTCTTTGGGAGCATCTCCAAGAAACTTCTCCACTTTTTATTTCTCTATCTTTGGCAAACGTAAAATTCTCCAAAAGGAGTACATCTTTCCCGCGTGTGCTTTTAATCAATGTAGCTGACATTATAGAAATAATTATTGTTTATAAACACTCGAATTACAATCATCAACGTATAAAAACTGACTGAAATATAAACAGTAAACACCCAAAATAAGTACCTATTAGAATTATTAATAATCAGGTAGGTACCTATTTGTGGGCGGATGTAATTTGCGGGTTTAGGTACCTGAATGCTACTGTGGGCAAAATACCAGTAAGATTAACGCACCCCTTTACTTACACAGGTAGAAAACAGAGATTTGTGGGCAAAAAGGACCCGCCGTATGGGACGGGGGTAGCGGAAAAAAATATAGTCCTATAAAAGATTGTTGGTTTTTTTATATTATGGTATAAAAACAAACTTAAAATTATTCTACATTTACAAAAAAAAAAAATAAAACCATTTTAATGACATCTACCAAAACAAAAACAAAATAAAAATTATATAGTGATTTTTGTATTGTGTAGTATTTAATAATACAAGACTGTATCATGTGCTTTCATTGTCTACTAAATAAGTTTGTGATTCAAGATCTTCATCTTCATCGTTTTCCAACATATCTACGTCAGTGTCATCGTCAATATCTGATTCAGGTAAAGATTCTTTATTCGAAGCATCAGGCAAACTTTGATACCAATAATGAAGTTCACTTGGTATAATTTGCTGATTACACATTTTTAGTAAATTAGCCTTTTTAGCTTTTGTAATACATAGTGGTTTGTTGTATACAGTTTTCATTTGAAAAGTTGTGTAGTTGAAGTTAAATGGCTTAGTTTGCTTTTCTTGCGCACCTCGATTTCTTAAAACCCGTTTTTGCGTAAGAGAGATATTATTATCTTGTCTAGACTGGTTTTTATTTTTAAGATGATTCAGCTAATGTTCTGAAAGGCTAATGTCCAGTTCCTTGTACGCACCTTCATAATCATAACGAAATAGAACGATATTTGGTTTATCTTCCTGAAATCTCATACACTTGAATTTTAGCCACTGTGCCGTTTGACCATCATTATCAATTGTTCTATTTCTCATTAGTTGTGTAGATAAATACTTCAGGTCCAAAATATCGGAGTACTTGAGTTCGATTGGTATGTAGGGATTCTTTAAAATAATATTTTTTTATTATAGGTTTTTCGATTGGACCTTGCCAATTTTACAATATTAATCCAGTCAATCATGGAATAAGTAGGAAAATGTTTGTGCTGTTTTTGAATCACACTGTTAATACTATCGGCCTCCATGTAGCTGTGCCCGGATTCAAGATACTTCTGTTCAATGGCATCCAAATGCGTTGTTTACACTAAGTATACCATTAAACAAGTTAAGTACTGATTTCTGTTTTGTCCGGAAGCTTTACAATAAACTTCTGGATATCATAAAATGCATAAATGATGTTAAAGCTTTCAAAACTGGAGTAACAGAGGTCTTACTAGCTCACACTTTTTATAGTGTTAAGGAATACCTCCACTGCAAATTTTACTTAAATGTTTTATTATAATTTTACTTAAATGTTTTAAATGTACTGTTTGTAATGAATTATATATAAGTTTGTTTGTTATTTTCTATAATATAGGATATATCGAACTTCTACACACTATTGGGACACCCTGTATCTAAATCAGATCAAGTAGAAACAAATAAATTATGTCACAAAGGAAAAACTAATCATCGAGGCATAATTGAAACCGAAGCCCAAATATAACGTCGATTTTATTGGCCTAACATTAAAGGTGGTGTCACCAAATTCATAAACAATTGCGAACTTTGTCAACGAATGAAATACTCCCAGGTATACCCATTAACAGGAGTCACATCCATTTATATTGCCAAAGCTTTCATTATTTTCCTTACCCACCACGGTACTCCTAAAATATTGATTTAAGACCGTGACACCGAATTAAAAAATTACGTAATTGAAGATTTTGCTAAATTACATAAAATTCACCTCCATTAAACAACTGCGTACAACCAAAATTCTAATAATATCGTCGAAAGATTTCACTCGACACTAACAGAACATATCGGAATCTTGCAGAACACCCGGAAAGATCTAAATATCTTGGACCAAATTCCGTACGCAATTTTAGGATACAATTTAATTACAGGACATCTAGAAACTAATAGCCCTTTTAATATTGACAAACGAAAAACTATACTCAGACTACATAACTCGTCACAAATTAATGACTATGGGAAATTACAAAAAACTAAATGAACTTAAGCAAAACAAAAAAGTAACAAATTGAAAAAACTGATGAAACTCATAGCCCTTCAAAGAATGATCCTCGCGTTACCACAAATCTGGAGCACGCAACAAAGTTAGTTCACGATTAGTTTGTCGTCCTGTTAAAAAGAATGAGCGTCTCAAAGTTAAAACTTACAAAATCAAAATAGAGAAGGACCGAACCCAACTTAAATAGTTATTTCTACACTTTATAAAAATAATTTAAAAAGACCTTCATCTAATCAAAAAATTGTACCATTACAGCATTCTTAATATCGAATAAAAAAAATCATAGGTAACTGTAGGTAATTTTTAGAATAAAGACACTTTGGACCCGGTAAATGCAGTTTTCAAGTTTTTTTTTTTAAATCTTAAATAATTTAGATAATTCAATAATAATTGCGTGATTAAAAATAGTTCACTACAACATTCTGAAAGTAGAAGATTTAGAATTTATCATAAACTTGCTATTAAAGTCATGTTCAAAAAGTAACTTTAATAAATGAAAAAATGTTCATATAAATATTATAAATTTATTATTATTCTAATACAGTAATTGTGATTCACTTCCTCGCATAATATACACAAAAACTTATTTTTACTTTCACTCCTATTCAATACCTATCCAAAATAATTCAACACTTATCCCTTCCAAACCTTTTCTGGCGATACAAGTAAATAACTATGAGTACGAGGACGAAGAATGCAACAAATTCGAACTTATTGTATTTTTGCACAAACATAAAATCATAGTCAAAGCTAATACAGATGATGATGGTATTCACTAAACAAGACTCGTCGGCATGTGAATTTACTTCAATCCAAATCAATTCTGAGAAAAGTACCCCTCAACCAGATTAGCCAATTACAGAAGAAACAAAATCGAAGTCCAGAAATTAAAAATTGACCCACCCCAACAGGTAGCTTTCAATATCGGTATTGAAGAAGATGAATAACAATCCACATATGGATTTATCTGGGAAGGGAGGAATTATATCATAAAAACTGCTGCGGTGCACAGAAATTCCTAGGATCCCACCAACATGTGTTAAACAATAGTTATTTTTATATTCAGTCTGATGTTAGCATTCATTAAATAAAGACATTATAATCTCTGTTTGAATAAAAAATATTTAAAAAAAAGCTATTTTTCAAATCATATTATAGTTTTTGGAGGTAACAATATATTGTATAAATATTATAATAAAGAAACCAGAATATTATGTCTAATTCAGGTAGTTTTATATTATAAATACTTTCACACAAGTTCGTCATGAAATATCTGCCATCTGTCGAGTTGCAAACTGTTTTTTACCAGTAAAGTTTTAAAAGAAATGGTTCTCGTATAACATATTCATATTTGTTTCCTCTGTTTCAATAGAAACATTAACAATCTATTAAATTTTTTATTTCTACTTACATGACAGAGAGGAGAAGTAAAGAAAATTTGTTGTATTCTTTGAATAATCTACTTTTAATTTTTGTGGACACTTTGTTTGAACGGTAGCTTTATAAATAACTTCCGTTAACTGATCTTTATTATTATCATCAGGTGTCATTTTTAATTATTATACATCTATTTGTCCTATTCACTACTGAATATTACTTTAAATAACGCCTTTTATAGTTTTATAATATCTATTGTTTTAACTAAAGTAAAAATAAATCTAAATCTTAGGATTCATTATATGGTCATGTTATGATGTTAAGATTTTGAGAAATAAATATTTACCTAACATTAAATTTTAAATTTAGAACCAATGGACCAATAAATATACCGCGAAAATAGGAACTACAGTGCGAATTTTTTAAAAACGATTCAAATTAGGAAATCCCATTTTTATCAAAAGCCAGAGAGTTTTATATTTATTACAGAGATTCAATGATTAGAAACTTTATCAAAATAAAGTAAATTTGTGTGTGCATTCAAATGTAACAAATGTATATGTTACGGCAGTGGTTAGGCAGAGATCTGACGATCTCAGAAATCATTGGAAAAAAAATTAATCCCTAACATGCTGGTCGCCATAATAACTGAGTTTGGAAAATTTAAATTAAAATTAACAAGAAATAGCGTTAAAAATGGTTTAAATGCGGAGAATGACCCCAGAAAATTACGAATTGGTTTGACCATTATTACATGATAAGTATGATGATCTATCCATGCTTGTCGATTTTCATTTAGATGGTTTGTTTTGTTGCAATTTCCCTTGCGCAATATATTGGATACTATCACAAAAACTTTATTTGCGCTAGAAAACTTAAAAATTAACACAGCTTCTTGGGATCCGTTTATTGTTCATGTAATGAGCCGAAAATAGGATCATAATTCCTTTTGTAGTTGGGACAAAAAGGGCCTAAAAGAAATATCGTCATTGCAACAATTTAAAGAGTTAGTAGCTTGAACATTTTTTGAGAGAAATAAGAACAAAGATGGAATTAAAATTGAAAAAAATAATTTCAGATCTAGACCTTTTAAGTCATTTGCAAATGATTTAACTTTTGCTTGTAATTTTTGTAGTGATAATAATTTAATTTATAACTGTAATAAATTTCTTGAAACTAAAAGATTGGGCTTGTGTCTTAATTGTTTATCTTTTATCTTACTACTATAAGTAAAAACTTTGATGCTGGATCATGCAGGAAGTGTGGAAAAAACATCACACTTTGTAACATTATGAGTCATCCAATCAAGATGGTTCTAAAATTGGTAATGCCAGACTAGAAAATTGAGGTCCACGCAGGCGCTAGTGGTGGGGATAGTTCCAAAAGGTCGGTGCAGGTAAGGTCGAGTTTTCTAGAGAATGGCGAAAAGGTCCCAGGTGAGGAATTATTGAGCACAGAATTGGTGTTAATTAGGGATGCTAAGCCAAATTAGATTATCCAAGAGTTGGTTGGTAAATTAGAGTTAGGTAAAGAGAATGTAGAGGTCTCAAACATTGGCATTATTCAGGACCCAACATCTGTTGGTTTCAAATGTATAGCAATATTTGAATCAGTTAAAGGTAGTTATATATTTGAATCAGTTATAGGTAGTTATAGTAATAATATTTCTTGTTTGGTAGTTTCAAAAATAGCAGGGCTGACATCTTATTGGAAGATCAACATAAATCAGTTGGAAATTCCTGCACATGTAAGTTTGGCAGCTCCAGCATTTAAATGACCTGGATTGATTGATCTCTTATTTGATGTGGATATATTTTATAGTTTGCTCTGTGTTGGTTAAGTATCTTTGGGGCATTATTTGCCGATTTTACAAAAAACAAGGTTGAGCTGCATCGTGTGAGGGTGAGTAGGGTAGTAATAAATAGACCATGAATTGTAATCTGAACATCATGGATATTCACAATCAGTTGGATAAATGTTGGATGAAAGAAGAGCTACCTAATGAACAGAAAAAACAAATGAGTAGCATATGTGAGAAGTTATTTGTGCAAACAATGCCAAGAGCTAGTGATGGTAAGTTATAGTCCGATTTTCGTTGGCTGAGGACGTGTCTAAGTTGAGAGACTAATCGGCTAAATGTTAGCAACCCAGTGTTGCAGTGTATGTACATGACGTTTATGAATGAATACATCGCATTGGGTCACATGTCATATTATATTCCCTGTCATGACGTGTGAAAAGAGAACAGTTCTAAACTAAGGGTGGTATTCAATGCATCTGCGCCAACAGATACAGAAGTGTTCTTTAACGACATCTAATATAACGGATCCAAGGTACAAGAAGATTTGTTTTATATATTGTTAAGATTTCATCAACATAATGTTGTAGTTTGCGGGGATGTCGGGAAAATGTCTAGAATAGTTTGGGTGCACTTAAGCTGACCAAAAAATATTTTGGCGATGAGCACCTGATGGTCAATTGTTGGAATACAGAAATAATGTTACTTCGAAAATGGGTTAGTAATATTGTTCAATTAGAGTTGGAAGGAAAAGTTGATGGTGAGCAGATAAAGTTTAGTGACAGGAAACAAAATAAAGCTTCGGGGTTATATTGGTGGTTCAGGGATGATGAACTTATGTTTTCAATTAATTTTCCCGTGGAGAAGGGCAAAAGCACGAAAATATCATTTTTGTCAGAAATACATATCGAAGATATTTGATCCGCACTTCTGCAGGAGGTGCGAACAAGAAGATGAGATAATTAAACATGTCCTCTTTGATTTCCCGACGCTCTCATTTGTTAGAAGATTTGTTTTCGACGGAATTGGCTAATACCGGCCTATATAAGAGAAGCACCTCTTGGCGACGTTGTTAACTACAACAAATCTGTAGGCTGGCTCACGAGCTATGAACTTAGGGAGGATGCGCAATAGGCCCATTTACACCTAAGTCTATCCAAACATTATAGATACAGTGGTTTTGAAATAAATATATTTTTTCTACGATCACTATACACAGTCGCTTCAAAACCCAACCACATAGTTGACATTTTCCGCAAACTGACATTAAGTGACAGCTTCGTCGCTCGTCGCGCGATTAAATTAATAGCTTTACTGCTAGCCTCCTTTTTCATGGCGAAAAGCATATACATTAATCATATGTTGCAGGCAAGTGAATATATTTAGTAAATAAAAATTAATTTCTATCATATTTTCACAAATTTGTTCTTAGCAAAATTAAATCACTAGAAATATTCAGGAGGTAGGTAATATATTATACACGATACAAAATTTTTAGACTTTTAAAGTAGGCTATTTGCAATTAAAATAAATTTATTTATATTTTAAATTTTTTAAAAAAATTAACCCCGCATCGCATGGGTACCTTTCTGTCTCAAGCGACAAAATATACACTTTTCGCTCTTAATAGTACATAAATAGCTATTAACTAAGCTTGATGAGACAAAAAAAAATATTATTGACTATTCTGTCTGTAACGTGTGGAGGGTGGGTTACCCCCACGGCACTTGGGCTACCCGCGTATTAATATTTTTATTATAAAGGGTTGACGTTACAAAAAAATATCTTGACATGAATTGAATTAAGTCACAAAAATATGAATGCATAGAAACTAAACATTAACGACTATGAAGACTAGTCTTCATACTAACAACTATTTTATTATGCAGTATATAAAATGGTCTATTAAATATATAACAATTTTCCCCCTTGGGCTAACTTCTCAGCCATACTTTGGACACGTTTTTTTAGTTAGACTGAAGATTATTTTACGTACTTTTTCCAATCGTCGCCAAATTATTTTGTACTGATTGAAATGATAATACCCGCGTATTAATATTTTTATTATAAAGGGTTGACGTTACAAAAAAATATCTTGACATGAATTGAATTAAGTCACAAAAATATGAATGCATAGAAACTAAACATTAACGACTATGAAGACTAGTCTTCATACTAACAACTATTTTATTATGCAGTATATAAAATGGTCTATTAAATATATAACACTAGGCCCATTGTGTATCCTTCTAAGATGATAGGCACCTCCTAGCTTGTTAGCCAGCCTACAGATTTAATGTAGTTGACAACGTCAGGATAACTTAAAAGCTTCCTGGCAACTCTGCAGTTTCTTGTTTTATCCCATCTTTCTTTGAATTTCACAAGGGAATGTTCTTTAATTAGGTCTGCCACTACCGATTTTGTCCAGGCCAATAGAAGGGCCAGGTTCAAAAAGTATTTGGTTGGCTGCCTTCTTGACCAGTGAATCGTGAATCGATGTGGCGTGGCCTTTGATCCATCTTAGGGTGACCACGTTGTTAATGGATACTTCGGCCAAAACTTCGTTACATTCTAGTACTAACCCTGAATAAATTCATGGTCTATTTAGGGTAAGTAGTGCTTGTCTGCTATCTGTATAGATGAGCATTTTCATTCCAGTGATATTGTTTCTGGTGATTTCTTTTGCTGCTATGAGAATCCCCGTGAGCTCTGTTTGAATAACACTGGCACTATTGCTCACAGCTCATTTTATGTTGAGGTTTAAGGATCTGGAGTATATTTCACATCCTGAGCCTTGTTTTGTTTTAGAACCGTCGGTGTAGATATGAATCGTACCTGCCACTTCCGGCTCTTCTATTTGTTCTGTTACAACTTTATATGGCTCATGGAAGATATATCTCGTTAGATGGAGTCCATGTTCACTTGAAGAAGTGGGAGCGTATCGAGTGCCTCCTGCCAAAAGCCACGTCTCGCCTCACCAGATCCTACATTAGGTTCTATTCCAACCGTACGAAGGCGTGTCATTGTCATCCGAGCAACCTTCTTGATATAAATATCAAGCGGAATAAGACTAAGAATGACTTTCATGGCTGTCAATTTTTGAGTTTTCGGTACCAAGACAACTGCGCCGTATGTTATCAGTGTAACTCCATGCGACGACTCTGGGGAAGAAACCCCAGGTACGCCCCACGGTTCGGCGCCATTGTTCATAAGCAATGTATGCTCTTTTGACTCTTGTTTTCTAAAGTTCCATGTTAACTTGCTTGTTAGACCTAAGTACTTCACCTCTATTGCAAAGTTTAGTTTTGTGTTTAGGAGTTCTGAAGGTTTTAAAAAAAATTATGAGACTAATTATTAAAATGACATTGACTTAAAAAAAAAATAAAATATTAACATCAGAGAAATTTGAAGTTGATA